GAACACACACACACACACACACACACACATTGCCCCGTATTGCCTTGATTATTCAATTACATGTATTCTTTTAAAACTAATGTCTGTTAATAAAGATTGAGAAGCTAAAATCGGCGGTATATTCAACATTTAAAAAGATTATTGAAACCATTTTTCTGAATACTTGATACAGCCCAGGCTCGACAGGACAGACTGTACTCTCGGGTAATCTGAGTTTGAGACTCCTGCCTTCATTAAAGCACCCACAATGGTACATCTACAAATGATGCAATAAGACAGAGTTCTTTGTTGCAGATGGTGCAATTTTTTTATTTTCCTAGTGTATAAACTCAGAGTACGCGGAACGGCTTCAGAGTGGACAGAAAAAAATAATTAAATGGGACGCTACCAAATATTGTCGTCATCTTATCGCTGACTTCACAATAAAATGAAAGCGAGGCTAGAGTATTATTTTATTTAGATGAAAGAAGAAGAAAAAAATATAGCACCCAACTCCAAACCAACAAAGCAACTAATTCTTTACATCTCTGTCGTTTTTATGAACAAAATGTACAGAGTTTTTTATGATGATTTCATTTAAAGCAAATAATGACAGACACACTGCATGTAAACACCAAAATGGACGGATGTACAGAAAATAAACAAATAAGTTTAAACTAGAATTCGATGCTCTAAATAAATAAAAATAATATTGATGATAATATGACAAATTCAAAAATATCAGTAATAATTTTTCTTATAATACTTTAAATTCAAACATGTACGGGCAGCATGAGGTTAAAGCATACATTTTTCTATTTTCTCTTGTCTTCAATTGCTTCCAAATAATTCAAACATGCATGAACAGCGACACTGAACAGATAAAGTAATGGTCATCATGTATCATTTCTTATCTTTCAGGAATTTATAAGCTGGTTTGGGTAAGGAACAGAAGTAAAAAAAAAGTACAGGATTATCCTAAAAATATATCTAAAATAAGAAAGAAAAAAAATAAACGCCACAAGTCTCTTTCACAGCCTTAGTAGTTTCGTAATGAGTGTTATGTACATTTATTTAACAAATGAATATCTTAAATTAAAATAACTATACACTAAGGCCGCAAACACAGGAGGAAGTTCGCAAGTAGACGATATGTGATTGTGTTTATTCCTTGAATCTTATCATTGTCATTAGGAAACAAACACCCCTTTGTACACTTGATGACAAGGACAAAGAAGTGGTTTGCGCATATACACTGGGCAGACTGCGAAATGACAAATTAAATAACTTCATCAGAAACTCAAACATCAATCATAGAAGAGTGAGATTACCATATATTTTGTCATGAAACGGAGCTCAGAGAGGTAGGAATCACTTTGAGTTTTAATTTAAAATGTAAAGGCAAATAGCCGAAATAACAGAAAGAGAGTCTCAAAGACTGTAAATGAATCGAAAAGTTAAAAAGAACAAACAGGACAAAGGTGTAGTGGTACTTTGTGGGAAGAACAGTATCATATACAGTGTACATATATATTTCTTTTAAACCCCAAAAACAACTCTCAACGTATATAATGATAAAAACACAGCTTGACAGTTCTTGTCAAAGCAAAATGCAAGACTATACTTTAATGCCATATTCCAACAAGCTATAACATGGCAATCCATCTTTCCTCTCTAAGATTCTCTTGGGCCTCAAAATGTGTTAGAGTAATGAATATTCCTCGCCATCTTGCATGCATCCACGCATTGGATTATGGATCATATATATCTGGGGCAAAAATACCAATGACCTTGTGCATTTACGTCACCAACAGTCAAGCTCGTACGAGTGGTCACAAAACAAAAGATGAACGGCTTCGCCCAATTGAAAATTTCGATCGAGACCCCAGATTCCACTGGCGTGTTGGCATTCCGTTCAATGTCCGAGCCAAAAAAAACCCCACCATGTAACTGTTGGCGACTGTGTAGGTAGAAAGCCGAAGCAGACACACGCGTACACACACACAGGGGCGAATCAAGCAGATGTGCCGGCGAGAACTGTCAGGTGTATCAAGCTGGAGCCCAGAGCCTCTTACGCCTTACTTGTAGCGTCTCTGAAAGAACAAATGCGATATCATAATGAGCGTTTCGTAGATAAATTATAATCAAGGATGTCGTTCCTCCACTAGATAGATGTAGTGATAGATAGATAGAGATAGATAGATAGATGTGGACTGATAGATGGATAGATAGATAGATAGATAGATAGATAGATAGATAGATAGATAGATAGATAGATAGATAGTTAGTAGATAGATAGATAGATGGATAGATAGATAGATAGATAGATAGATAGATAGATAGATAGATAGATAGATAGATAGATAGATAGATAGATAGATA